GCATGGACGCACAGGGCTAGAGGCGAATCGAGGTGGTGCTTGCGATGAGGGGCATCCCGGGCCCACAAAACTCCCAGAGTTCCTAGCGCATAGAGGTGAACAGCAAGAGGCAGGTGCTCTTCAAATAAGAGCATCGCTAGAAGAAAATAATGGGAAATAGAGATGAGGAGAGACGATGCATACGTTAGACGACAGGGGTGAGCGAACGTATTATATCCCTACGCGCAGCTTCTCCTGGGGATATCCACGACATACATTCCAGGTCAGGCTCTGCCTCACACCCGGATTCTCTGTACCCTCATTGGTTTGGAAATAGAGTTGTCAAAAGTTGGCAACATCACCGCTTTTGAAATCTAGAAAGGCCGCAGCAGCTTGTGATTTCTTTTATAGCTTTAAGCCGTATATTTATTGCTGCGGCTTTGTGAATAGAGAATTATGTATTCAAAGTGAACTCCACTTAACGAAAAATCAGTCAGTATACTCGTGTGGAAAGCAGCACGCTACACTGGATAGCTATGCAGCCTAATCGATCAGCAAACTGAATCTATGTCCATACACAGAGGACGCTTGAATGTAACAAAGATGACAACGATGCCTGTGTTTCCACATCCCTACTCTCCAGTAAGCCATTTGATAAACAAAGGCTGTGTTTTGCAGCTCCGACACTAGCCATGGATACCATCTCGCTTTCCTAGCTGATAACTCTACAATAACAGCAGACCATCTCTAGTTCTGTGGAGCCAGCTGCTGTACCTGTATTTTCATATCCTTATTGCGAAATGGCCCAATATGTTTCGTATACATCCGATGATCAATAAGAAAGTAGATGCAGTCATTGCCTTGCCTCTGTGTGCAAAATGATTTGAGTTCAGTCTCTATCCTGCTGTCGCTAGACCTTTCTAATACTAGGTTAGCTAGTAACAGAGCGCTGGCACTGGCACTTCTCCGGTGCGCAACAGTGCGGTGCATGAGATATCTCCTAATTCTGGCACCAGCGGACAACTATCTCAAGAGCTGTGAGGTCATTCAACTGTCTTTCATGCACATACACAACATCGGTATTGTTTATTTTGTAGTGCGTAGCATTGTGTCCAGCATCCAGTGTGGGGTTCCTGTGCATGACCAAAGTGCATTGACTATTTAAACACCCTTCCAAGGTAGACACAACCTCACTCTTGCCTTCTGACATTACTGATTTTTTTACACATTATTGGTATACCATTTCATACTCTACCATTCTCTCATCATGCCCCTTTAACCATGAACTCTCACCCTTATCCGGCGATAACGATGCTAGTTCCAAAGTCGAGTGCCACTTTGCCATCGTCGTCGAGAAAGGGAAACAGCCAGACAAGGACGGGTTTATCGTCTTGGTCTCTGCAGGTGATACAGATTTAGCGATGCTCCGCGCCAATATTGCCCAACGCTCAACCGGAATTACCATGCTTCCCGAGGCAGTTGCATTTGAGGATGAGGAAGGCAATGAAATCGTGTCAATCGATCAGGTTCAACGAGCGAGAGTTGTGTATCTCACCACACCTATTGCGGGACTTGAAGCGCCTGTGGTTCGAGGCTATCCAATTTTTGGTATTGCGCCTATGCTCTTTAGTGATTCGCGTCAGCAGTTCAATCCCCTTTTTGACAAGTACGGCGATACCTTTTCATGCTACCTACTTGGAGTGAAGAACTATTATACTCGTGACCTGGCAGCCACCAATGCGACTATAAATGACAGCGAATATTTCGAAAAGTCAATGGCCTATCCGTGGTCTGAGCTCCACGAGCTGGGTGGAAATGGGCTGATTACCTCGTCGTCAGACAACCCGGACTGGAAGTTGGCACACCGTCTGCTTGTTCCTGCATTCTCAGCTAGCGCTATGAAGGTTTACGGTCACAAGATGACAGAGATTTCTGAGCAGGCATGCGAGTGGCTCGACAGCCATATTGGCGAGCCAATTGAGATATTCAACTTTGCCACCAGCGTTACATTCCAGATGATTGCCAGGATTGGGTTTGGCTTTGACTTCAACCTGCTCGACCCAGCTGGCACTGGTCAGCACCCGTTCACGGAGGGCATGAACTATTGCCTGAAGCAGATAACCGCTCGTTTTATTCTCACGCCGCTGTGGAAGTATCTGCCCATTGCTGCGAACCGCAAATTTGCTGAGCACATGCGCAACATGCGGGCCACAGTACAACGAGTTATCGATGAGCGCCGCACCTCGCCAGATGCTGCTAGTATGAAGAAAGACCTGCTTGGATTCATGCTTAATGCTCGTGCACCAGACGAAGACGGCAACCTAGTTGGACTCAGCGACCGACTTATCCAGGAGGAGATTATCACATTTGGAATAGCAGGCACGGAAACCAGCAGTTCGACTATATCTTTCGCTTTGCAGCTCCTGGATAAGCACCGCGATGTTCAGCATCGGGCGCTACAGGAACTCGCTGCCGCCGGGATCACTGCAGACACGTCGCCGACAATTCAGCAAACTAACAAGCTGACCTATCTGACACAAATTATCAACGAGACACTGCGCCTATTTCCACCAGTGCCAGGGTTACTGCGCGAGTGTCTAAAAGACTGTATTCTGCCTAGTGGCATCACTATCCGCAAAGGTAACAAGATATGCCTTATCATATGGAGTTTGCACAGGGATCCGAAAGTATTTCCGGATCCGCTCAAATTTGACCCAGACCGCTTTTCGCCTGAGAATATCAAGAACATCAAGCCCGGCTCGTGGGTCCCGTTTGTCTCTGGCAGCCGTGCTTGCCTTGGTCGCCAGTTCGCAATGATGGAACTGCGGGCTGTGCTAGCTCGCTTGTTGTCGAGATACGAGTTTCGTGTTGTAGGAGATGGCGAACCCCGGCATCATCCGACGAAGATTACTACAAGCCCAATGGATCTCTTCATGACTGTCCAGAAGCGCACAAGCATTCCAGACATCAACACTCTGATGGCAACAGACGCTTCTGGTCCCAATGATAATTTCACCGTCGAGCATCCTGCTCTGCACCCACTTACGCACACGGTCTCTGGTGACAAGCTGCCGCGTACGTTCGTTGTGTATGGATCAAACATGGGCACCAGCGAGGACTATGCGACGCAGATAACCGGGCAGCTGAGGCGCATGGGGTTTGCTGACATTGCACTGCTGCCGCTGGATGACTGGGACTTTGCTTCAATGCAGTCTGCCGATGGTAGGCGCTCTCTGGTTGTGGTTATTACCAGTACGTACAACGGAATGCCACCTGACAACGCCAGAAACTTTGCCAAGCTGCTCGACCAGGAGACCCGCGCAGACATTCTCAAGGATGTCGACTTTGCGTTGTTTGGCTGCGGCAACTCGCTCTGGTACACGTTCCTGAAGTTCCCGCGCCATCTGTACCAGCGCTTTGTTGCGCTTGGTGCCACGCCACTGACTGAGTTTACGGCAGGAGATTCCAACAACGATCTTGACAACGAGTTCATGAAGTGGTCACTCCAGGTCGGAATGATCGTAACTGGGCACTACAGTTCCAGTTTTGACGCCTACATTGACGTCGCCACGAGCATGTTATCAGAAAATTAGTTGAGCCTTTCTTGTCCTTTTTCTTTGTCCCGGCTTCTACACAATTCGCAATCAGCCCATCCTCCCGACTGGCCTCTTTTACATACCTTGCTCTGACTTTCTAGTGCTTATTGAAATACATACGGCCTGCAACTTACAATGCATTTTGTTCTTAGATGCTGCTACCCATCCTCCTTCAAACGTCTGTAATCTTTGATACAAGCCACAGCCGTACTTGCTGATGTTGACAGCAGCCCTGCTACCCCGTTCATATTGTCGTTGGAGAACACACCAATTAAAGTCAACCGCAAGTTGCAAGACGTCAAAACGAGCGGTCGCAGCACTCGGAATATCAAGATCGCTCTGGATGACACATCAGATATTTTGTACACGACTGGCAACCACCTCAATACCCACCTGGTCAATGTACTGAGTGTTGTGCGTGAGGTTTCTGCGGGTCCTAGAACTCGATCTGGATGTGGTATTTGAGCTGGAGCATATTTCGGACGCCTCTCCCTTTGTTCACTCTACAGCAGCAGTTATCCATGGCTGCAAATGCACTGTTGCTGATGCTTTCCAATATGTTTGCAACTGGAAGGAAGTGCATTCGCACGAGCTGGTTGCTGCGCTGAACGAGACTTCCGGTAATGAGCCTACCTATGATTCGCTGCGCAAAGCTGTTGAAGACGTCAACACGCTAGACAAGCAGTCGGCTGACTGGAATGCATTCACAGCACAGAGCCACACAGTTCTGGATGTGTCGCACACGTATGCGCCACTGGTGCACCAGATTCCATTTGCAGCACTGCTTCACCTTGTGTCAGCCATGGACCCTCCGCGGTACTCGATCGCCAGCTACCAGTTGGTTGTTGGCAATCAGATCCATGTTTCAATTGCTATTGTCAACCATATCGTCAAGGGCTATTGATACGGCGGTCTGGCAACCGAGTATCTAGCATCGTTGGAGTCGAGTGCTTGTGTATCTGTGTCGCATCTCCCAGCGTACGGCTTTTCCACCTTCCGCTTTCATCGGATATGCCTGTAGTTTTCGTTGCCACTGGTATTGGAATTGCTCGGTTCCACAGATTCTTGCAGGAGTTGAGGTTTGCAGGGGTTGATGGTACTGTTGTATACTTTGGAACCATATATTTTTCATACTCTGCGCTAGTGTGGTGATCACACCACAGTCACTCAAAGCCAATGCTTATGCGACTCAGCCGATCACAGATGATGAGACTGATTCATCACCCTAGGCGAGGCCACATAGTTAAGGCTATAAAATAGACACCGGATCACTCCAGGAGTGACCCGGGAGGAATCATCTCTTCTTGTCTAATAATATTAACTGTCCCCATCAATTGATTAGTGCCTGGGCGAGTAGACGAAGCTCGTGACCTTTAAATAGGGGTCGCGACACTAGTCACAAAACATTTATAATCATATTTCCGGTATTCCTGCCATTATGACGCTGCAACTTTCGCACAGGCTGCTTGATGGAAATAAGCAGTGAACGCATTATCTAACTATTTACTTCGATAGACTATCTTATTACTCTTTGCCAGCCTTCGCACGGGCTGCATTGGCAGAGTCCGTTAGCTGCATGCGCTCCATCTGACCGGGGATGGATCCAAACCGCCCGGTTTCCATGTCCTCAAACGCCTGGTACAGCTCGTCCCTGGTGTTCATGACGAATGGGCCGTAGCGGGCAACCTTCTCGCCGATCGGAGTGCCGGCCAGGACCAGAACGCGCGCCTCCTCCGACCCAGCAGCCTCAAAGTCAATCGGCTGCCCGTCGGTTTTGATGACAGCCATCTGGCCTTCCTTCACCTCTGCCTTCTCGTTGCCAACCAGGATCGGCTCTGTGTGGAAGTTGTACACCATTGCGTCCATGCCGCTCGGGAGATCCAGCGCGTACCGCCCAGTGGTGCGCAGGTCCAGGAAGAATATCTGCGTGCGCGTGTCGATGTTGGCAGTGACATCTTCAACCTTGCCTGCAATGACCTTGATCCGGGTCTTTTCGTCGCTGGAGGTGAACGTGGGGATGTTCTCGGGCGGAACATCCTGGTAGCGAGGCGCCGTCATCTTGTACTTGGCAGGCAGATTGACCCAGATCTGGAAGGAGTGCATAACACCACCTTCCTTGAGCATCTTCTCGGTCGGCATCTCGCTGTGGATGATGCCGGATGCTGCGCTCATCCACTGAACCCACCCGGGCTTGAGAATTCCGTGGTTGCCGTGGCTGTCACGGTGCTCAATCTCGCCCTCCAGCACGTACGAAATCGTCTCCTGGCCACGGTGTGGGTGATCGGGAGCACCGACAGCCTCGCCGGGTCCATACTTTGTCGGGCCGAGATGGTCGAGCATCAGGAAAGGGTCAACCATGTCCAGGCTGCCGGACGGTACTGGGCGGCGCACGACAAAGCCGCCGCCTTCGCGCTGGCGGTGTGCAGTGATGATTCGCGAGACCTGCTTAGTGATTTTTGTAGTGGTGGACATTTGTGCTATTGTTGGTGTTGTTGGCGTTGTTGGCGTTGTTGCTGTAGAAATACAAGGGATGTGTAGAAGATCTGGGAGTGGCTGAAAAGCTGGGAGACAAAGAACCGGCAGTGCCAAAATCAGCGCTTTTTATGCAGATCGGGCCAGTGTGGTGATTATTAAGGATTTGGTGGCCGATTTGTCATTCGGCTGGGGCTTTAGTCACGCATCCTGAACCAGCGTGACTGGCTGGCGCTCCAGGACAACTGCGTTAGTAACGGACATCGCATTACTAAACTGCCACTGCTCGCTCTCGTAACGAGGCACAAGCAGCACAAAGCGATATTCCTCACCAGACCGTCTGCTTACGGTGCTTAGAGGATCGACTCGATGTTGGCGATGGCCCAGTACAGGAGCTGGTGACTAAGACCGGGACCACTGGAGTGGTTTGGAGTGGGATGCCTATGACCCGATTCCTTTGGCCTGCCTGTTCTCTGCCGACAGCCCACAAGCTCCCACGCTTGCCGACATGCAAACTGCTCGCATTGATGTACCCCCCAGCGATGGCTGGTTCAAAAAAAAACAGTGCAAAGCGAGACTCGTCCAGAAGCCTGCCGTCTGAGTGCTGGCTATCCCGGCGCCAAGGACCGGAAGCAGGGCCCAGTGTGCTGAACCCGCCATTTATTTTTGGCCTGCAGCGAACGGCAATCAACCGAATCCTTCGATCGCCCAGCTTCTCCTTTGTGGACATCGCTTTCACCCACAGAGGCTTCTTGGCATCTCATCTCGTTTCCATTTACGATGCGTATTTTTGGAGACCCGGTCGGAGCCTGCTGTCTAGGCTTTTCAGCGTGCGCTCGCCAAGCCCACTCAGGTCTCCTGAATGTAGCCACCACCCGGTAGCTATGTGCTGCTGCGAATATAAAAGCACAGGCGTTCCTCGCAGACATCACACTTTCACTACCAACAACACCAGCCAGCAATTCCACACCAGCCTCTCACCCCCACCTGCATCCAGCAATGAAGATCACTGCCTTTACCCTCGGATTCCTCGCAGCCGCTGCCTCTGCCGCGCCGGCTGCCGACACCGCCTCGGGCAACAACGCCTGCGCCAAGACGCTTGCGCTCAAGATCACCAACATTTACGAGAACGGCGACACCAACTTCCACTACGACTACTGCGAGAACATCAAGGACGGGCGCGGGTTCACCTCTGGCATCTCTGGGTTCTGCACCGGCACCGCCGACGCATGGGAGGTGGTCCAGCAGTACCACAAGCTGACAGGCGGCAAGGACTCCTTCAGCAAGTACGACGGTGTGCTGAAGAAGTATGCCCAGTCCGGCAGTGACTCGACCAGCGGGCTCGACGGATACTGCTCGGTGTGGTCGAAGCTGGGCAAGTCCGACGCAAAGTTCCGCAATGCGCAGGACGCGATCCGCGACAGCATGTACTATAACCCATCGCAGAAGCTTGCGGACCAGCTCGGACTCAAGCTGAGCATCAGCCGCGCGCAGCTGTACGACTGCGGCATCCAGCACGGCACTGGATCGGACGCCGACGGACTGGCTGGGCTGATCAAGACCACCAACGCGTCGTTCAAGGCCGATGCCAAGGGCAGCTCGGGTAGCACGCTCAAGATCAACGGCCACAACGTCGACGAGGTCGCCTGGCTGACAAAGTTCCTGCAGGTGCGCACCAACGACCTGCTCCACCCGAAGGAGAAGGAGAACGCCTCGGGCGCATGGAAGGAGACGCTGTACCGCGTAAAGTCGTACCAGTACGCTCTCAGCAAGAAGCAGTACAACTGGACCAAGTCGGTGCAGG